GCTACTCAAGAACTTCCCAACACTTTATGGAACACGAAGGCTCATTACCCTGTTCATAAGAGCCCTCCATTTGCCCCTATCCCGAGCCAGATCAATCCACTCCATACCACACAATCCTATTTCTCCAAGATCCATTTTAATATTACCCGCCCATGTACGTCTTGTTCCGAGGCTTCTTGTGATCTTTCGTAACAAGTCCTCCATGACTTGGTCATTTTAATTATACTTGGCGAATAGTACAAGTTATGAAGTTCCTCATTATGCAGTTTTCTCCAACGTCCTGTCACTTCATCTATCTTTGGTGCCAAATATTCTCCTCAGCACCATGTTCTCAAACACCCTCTATGTTCCTCCCTTAATGCCAAACACAAAGTTTCACAGCCACAGAGAACCACAGAAAAAGTTGTAGTTCTGTATATTCTAATATTTTACAACTTTAGACAGCAGACGAGAAGACAAAAGGTAGTGGACTGAATGTAGCAAGCATTACACGAATTCAATTTCCTCCTGAATCAAATATTAATCTGTTGCTGTCGTTCCACAAATATTTCAACTGTGCCACATTTTCAAAACATCTGTTTCCTATCTTTATGTCACGATTTTGCCCTGCATTCTGGTGACAAGTCAGCAACACATACTTAGTTTTCTTTGCACTTACTTCTAGACCAACAGCCTTAGTAGCATCAGTTAGTTTCTCTGTTTTTCTTTATCGTCTATTTTATCTCCCAGTAGCTTCACATCACCAGCATAGACCAGCAGCTGCTATGTCGCAATTAATTTCAGTCCCAATTTATCTTCCTGGACCTCCCTGATGGCATATTCTACAGCAAAGTTAAAAAGCAGCGGCGATAAAACATCTCCTTGTTTTTGACCATTTCTGATAGAAAGATTATCAGACAAATGTTACTTTATAAGGACTTTATTATACGTTTCATTTAAACAGATGTTAATCAGCCTAATTAGTTTAATTGGTACCCCAAAATCTATGAGAATATTGTACAATATTTCCCTCATAACTGAATTATAGAGAAGTAGTTCTTCCGTCTATTCAAAATGTTGTGGGAATCTGCATGCAGACCACCATTCTCATCCTTCACTAAGTTACTTCTTGGTCTTTAACCGCTCTTGAATTCATTTATTCCCCCACATACGTCTGTAAGGAGCCAGGATAGCGTAGTCGGTATAGCGGCTGGCTATGGGCTGGACGACCGAGGTGTCGGAGTTAGAGTCCCGATAGGGTAACGAATTTTTTCTTCTCCACGTCGTCCAGACCAGCGCTGGGGTCCACCCAACCTCCTATCCAATGGGTACCGGGGGTAAAACGGCTGGGGCGTGAAGCTGACCATTCATCTCTAACTAGTGCCGAGGTCAAGAAAATGTGGATCTATGCATCCACTCCCACATACGCCTTCGTGGCGTAGTGCTTAATTAGTTAAACACAGGGACATCTTTACCTTAGTTAGGTCTATAATTTTCTTGTTCTTACTGCTCGTTGCAAGCCCATTAATTTTTCCTCTCAGATATTCCAGTCTTTTATTCCTGAAATTCCTGCTGACTTCACGTCCTTATATTGTTCAGATTATCCCCATTTATTTCGCTGGGTATACCATAAAATATATCACATTAAAATGAAGGCCACCTAGCAATTCCTAATACACCCCTCTATCCGCTAAAGTTGTCACTAACTTCATCGACAAGCGGCCGGTCGCTCGGTCGGTCGCTTCCTCTCATATCCTTACATACTCACTTTAATGACAATATTCCAATCTATTCAGTCACTATATTATAACCTCTGCAGGTGAAACAATCATTCAACCGATACTGACCCAAAAGAAAACGGTTCAATTTGGTTCCAATCCCGCTTGGCAGATGGTACATCTACCGACGTAGTGTGAATCTACCGGCGTGTGGCGTGTTTTTATTCATCTTTCTCTTGAAGCTGTGGAATTATCTGGCAGGTAATGAGCTTCCGAAACACTTTCAACCGAATTATGTTACAATATCTTGTTTTTGTGGTAGGCTTATATTTAAAGTGCAGTGCATGCAAAAATTTTGCTTTCTTAGTAGTTAGGTCTGACCCCCTGTGTGGTCTAGTGGTCAGAGTTCCTGGCTACAGATCCAGAGGTCCCAGGTTCGATTCCCGGCGTTACCAGATTTTCTGAGAAGTAATGGGTCTGGAACGGAGTCCACTCAGCCTCGTGAGGATAACAGCGGCGGTCGCTAGGTCGGTATAGTTCGCTTGCGGACTACAGGCCACGGAGTTTTGTAGTTAGGCCTACTTGATCGTAATTCACATGCTCTAAGAGAGACTTAAAATATTTAATTCTTGGTTAATGAACTGGTAGTAACTTCAGAACAGATATGAATTATGTATGCTCTGTATCTTCGCCCTCACAAAGTTTCGCGAGCTTCAGTAAAGTGTCATCAAAGTATCGAAGTCGATGCGTTGTGGTGACCCGCGCCCAAGGTACAACTGCATTATGCAACCGACAAACACTATTCATATGATTTGTTACAATATAGATAATTTAATCTATATATATTTATAATAGAAGACCTATCCTGATATAGCAATACTTTCTTCATTCAAATGCGACTACAATTGCAGCTGAATTTGGAATGATTCCTATTCATTCGTCATTTTCCTCCTTGACAAAACATTCTTTCATTGTTGGGCTAGCATGTACATAGGATTAATACGTTTTTATTCGGTGATCGCAATCTGTTTCTACTTAGACAATTTCAATAATATCAATAAATGATACTGATTTCTTAAAGAGCTCATCATTGAAGTATACCCCGAGTTTCTGAAACCAGTTCATCCAGTAATCCGAACAGAAGATAATATTTCGGAAAATCGACCTGTAACCTTAAAAACTCGATGGCTTTTGTTCGCACGCGAACTATATCTACCGAGCGACCGCCGCTTGTCAGCGAAGTTAGTGTTAACTTTAGCGGATAGAGGGGTGTCGCGTGGTCAGAGCAACGAATCCCCAAGGCCGTAATTACGGTTTTATAGAACGGAGCCGCTACTTTTCCATTCAAGTAGCTCCTCAATTATCCTCACGAGGCTTAGTGGCCCACGTTCCAGACCCACCACTTCTCAGAAAATCTGGTAGCGCCGGGAATTGAACCCGGAATCTCTGGATCTGTAGCCAGGAACTCTGACCACTAGACCACAGATCCTCACCCAGCGAAAACGCATGCAAACACCGCAGGAATTTCAGTCTGTAATACACGTTCACCTCAGTCATATAAAAACTGTAAGCAGCTTATGGATCTGACAGTCACAATAGTAATAAGGTAAGCAGTCTTAATTTACAACATCATTTTGCCTACATGAACCTTCTCTTTCTTGCAGAAGGATTATATACCTGGAGTACATTCTGAGGTCACAAGTTATATTGCTCTTTCCAGACATCTGTAAAGGTAAGGAGGTAAAGTTCTTCCTTTGCTTCATTAATTAAACATCACGCCATGAGGCGCATGGGGGAATGAAGCTATACCTCTAGCACTGGAGATGAGTGGTCATCTTCATGCCCCGGCCGCCTTACCTACGGGAAGGGACCACGGTACCAATTGGCTAGGAGGCTGGAGTGGGCCCCGGAGCCTGACTGGAAGTTTTCGGTCGGTCGGGTAAGTTGCTGGCGCTCCTCGCGAGCAGTTATATTTGGTTCCGAGTCCTGGAGGATTCTTGACCATATTTCACTGTGTCACGACTCTTGAGATCGTGCAACACGTTATTCTGAATGACACTACTTATGTTTGTAGTTTGCAGTCATCGTCTGACTTTTTCAAGATGCAATGCAATTCTTAGAGCTACCCCCCCGTTGCTATTTGAGAAACCTCTGCGTGTTGCATATGTAATAAAGTAATGTCAAAATGGGAGGTACTTTGCGAGGCAACGTAAACTACCGGCATATGCATGCATCTAGCGCCTAACCACAAACGAATTTACAAAATACATCAGTTCTATGTCTAGTGTATTCGTAAAATCTTAGGAACTTAAAAATACATTCCTGCCCTCGAAATCTTTGCCACAAGTTGCACGCAATCGCACGTGATATCCTAAGTAGAAGAATTTCAAACATCTCGTGAAAATCATTTACTGTGTATCGCCTTGATTTTCTTAGATTCCTCTTCAAAAGGCGCACGTGGTTGATCGATTATTTTTCAGATGGCCTAAGTAGGTGGGCAGATATAGTGTAGTTCTATATTTATACTTTATTATACACACATAGTACATGACATATATTACCTTATACTGGGCGTTGCGTTGCTTCCACTGTTTGAAATATTCCTTATATGTAGCATTCAAATTCAAGCCTAATCGCGACTATATGAATGTGCTAGAAAACTGTTTGCATATAAGGAGAGAGTGCCAGCGAGAAAAGCAAGAGTATCTGTCAGGCCTATTTGTTGCTGGACGGACATAAGGTGCTAATTCATTTTATATCTGACAAGTTGTAGTGTGTAGTATATTGTATATAGCATGTTTGTCACAGTCTACATAATACTTAATTTTAAAACATAGAGGAGGCAACTTTTAATTTTGTGTAAAAGACAGCAGCAAGGTTGCATACTGACCACAATTTCTCATTTTTAGTGACACTTCTACATTTTTTAGCTTCACCAAAACGCGAAAGTAATCCGCCAGTAAAAAAAGTCTGGGTATACCGGAAATAACATTAGATATTTCTGTGCCGAATTTAGTTCAGAAAATAAGTTTGCATTTGCATGTTTATGCTAGCATGTTATAATGTTCTCGAATGAGAACCACAAATATGTAATCGCTTTAAAGCATCAAGGTCTAGTAGAATAATTTACTTTTATTAATGTTAACAAACACAAACGACGTTCATGCTAGAATCTGCTCGTGTTTTAAGCAAACATCTCGCTCGTCGTATTTCAAACGTTAATATTAATCCTTATGGAGCCAAACAAACCAAAGTCGTGAGAATTTATTTATTACAGAATAAAGTGACGTTTATTTCACTCACCCGGCCAACATGGATACTGCCACAGGGATGGTACCCATCTGTCCACTGGCCATCAAAAATTCACCAGATTCGCTCCTTGCTGGCCCAGTGTTCTCGCCACGTCTGAACCTTCCGACACATCCGTGGTACACGCCAATGGCAGCAGACACCAGCAGCATGACCCCGAATACAGTATAATCGGCCCACGAGAAATATTGCACCTCTGGAACTGCCTCCAAGCTTGGGGTCTCCATGTTGCAGAAGTGCTATGCTAAAATTCACACAAATTGGTGAGTAACATTAATGCATCGTAAACCTGACTGTCATGTGGTGAAAGATAATAAATTTGGCTGTCGACACTGCATGCTTCCTGTTGTAAATATATTAATTTGAGGAGTTGCAGTGTGGAGGTACGTGTTTTGGAAGTCGAACTGTAAGATCTGCTTTTAGAGAGGGAAAATCCAAATGAATAATGTGACAACAGCAATAAAATTACCATGGTAACTAATGATACGATCGATTGCATGATACTCTTATAAAATTGTTTTAAAAAGAGATTTCAGATTATGATCAGATCAGCGTTTTTATTTGCCGATGTTTGTAGTATGAACCAGTGTTTGATACAAAACGTATAGGATAGCTGGCGAGATAGTACCTTAAAACACCAACGACCGACTAGCAACAAATTATTACTTATGTAAGATTTGAGGCTTTCACGGCGGTGACTATGGACAAAGCAGTCTTCTGGGATTTGGCACCGTGTATATGTGGTGTTAAACGACGTTTCGGAGGAACGTATCGCCTCCATCTTCAGGGTAGAAGAAAAAATATAAGACAGTCTGCTTTTACCGGTTCTCACGGTCTCTTCGCTTGCGGATTTCTTATATTTTTCCTTCTACCCTGAAGATGGAGGCGATACGTTCCTCCGAAACGTCGGTTAACACCACATATACACGGTGCCAAATCCCAGAAGACTGCTTTCTTCAAATTATTACTTGGTTATCATTCTTCGTCGTTTTCCCATCTCACTCGACGCTATCTCACCTTTTCAGTTCAAACAACAACTTTTTAAAGTAGGAATCAATCATTCAAGATCATAATGTTTTCCCTTATCAATCTCGGCTAAGCAACCCAACAAAGCGCTTCTCAAATTGTTAGTAAACAACACATACATAAATACAATGACGTAACTTCCTTTACCTGGGTCTAGAATTCTTTAAACTTGATCGCTGTTATCTCCCACACACGCACACAGACATCAGCAGTGCGTATGTGCAGGAAGCTCGGCCTTCCCTTACACGCCAAGACTGAAGGGATCAAGTACAGTTTTCTGTGTAGTCTTTATGATAGCGACGTTTCTTTCATTCTGTAACTTTATCTATCCAGCTAAATGCCAAGATTCTATTGTAATTAACTATCTTTGTCCCAATGCTACCTTTATTTACATTGTCATAAAAGATACGACTTAATGTAGCATTGTTTTCATTAATTCACACAAATTCGCTGCGACGGATGTTAAGATACAGATATGAACCAACGGGAAACCGCCGTTGGCGTAGTGTATATCAAGAGACTGGAAGGAGATACTTTCTTGTATTACCGACAGTCTGATGTCTGATGTCATGTACAACTCGAAATCCTGCTCTTCAAGGACTCTGTAAATTCTACACTCATAAAACTTATCAAACGAAGCCAAAAGAAAAGTTTCAAATAATTTTATAGATGTGCCTGCAACACGTCTCCCTTCAAGTTTCACATGCCAAGTAAAATGGTTAATTTTTCTCTCCATGATTTATTTCAACCGTCTTCCAGTGCATACACTCATCTATCTCCTCCTCTCACTCGCACTACATGTTTCGGCACAAAAGTGCCATCTTCAGGTGCTTATTCAATTTACGCTAAACTAGTTCATTGCATGCCTTGTCTTCATATTAAAATAACTAAAATATATATTTATCATATATATTGATAAATGTTAAATGTTAAAAATATTAAAATTGTTCAGGATTTTTCATCCCTATGTCGTATCTCACTACGCGAGTCACACGTATCCTCTTCTGTTGGAGCACTCTTTCACTATCATGTGTGTGTATTGTGCTTTGTGTTGTGTCTTGCTCCTGTGACTGCGTGTGTTATACTACTCAACATTTAACTGCTTTACATTTAACATTTATCAATATATATGATAAATATATATTTTAGTTATTTTAATATGAAGACAAGGCATGCAATGAACTAGTTTAGCGTAAATTGAATAAGCACCTGAAGATGGCACTTTTGTGCCGAAACATGTAGTGCGAGTGAGAGGAGGAGATAGATGAGTGTATGCACTTGAAGACGGTTGAAATAAATCATGGACTTAAATCAGTGCAACAGGACGCTAAAATATAACAAAATTTTTCTCTCATTTCTTAGCTGATTGGGGGGAGGATATATGCGAACGATGAATATGGAAGGAAGTGGCCTGGATCGGCTTTAAATTACTGTTCCCCATTTTGTCTCAAGGGACTGAAGAAAACTTCGGTGAGATTATCCGACGTCTAGTGCAAGAACTGAAGCTGAGATCTCCCGAATACGAAACCGAAATCATGACTACATTCATTCTTCTTTTTCTGCGTAGCCCAATACGGAATGTTCTAGAAATATTTCAGTAGCTCGAAAAACACGGAGAGTCAGACATGATCTATCACTAATGCGTTTCTTCTATTCTAGGCTGCCCGTGCACTTCACTGCGATTAAAGGAACGTTTTCAGTTTTGCAAACCTTTCCTGCAATTAACGGCTCGGAGTTCTTGGAGTCAAACATGGCATTATCTTGATATTCAGAACAAATTTTATGTAGGACAGGATATTTCAGAGTGATCAGAGTCTGGACTACCATAAAGGTTGCCCGAGTTCGATCCTCGACCGTATATGTGAGATTTGTGATGGGCGAAGCGATATAGAACGTCCATGTTGTATCAGATGCTTTCTTATTAAATTCAATATGTGAAAGATACAATTCTAAGGCTCTTTTCACACTATACGGTTTTGACCGCACGGCAAAAACTCGAACGGCGACATTCTTTCAGTGGAGTGAAGAAGAGCATGGCCCCTTTCACATTACACGGTGACGGCAAAATGCCGTCACTGTGCCGTGCAGCAGCCGTCCACTGCCACTACAACACACGGCGCCCGGACGGCGACCGATAACTCAGTGGTGTACGTGATCAAATGCACCCTTTCACATTAGACGGTTTTAAATCATACGGTCAGTTGCCCTCGAGCCCCTGTAGTTGCAGTTTGGTTACATATTACTTTTTTGTTGTTTAAATAATGGAAGATATTGATGCAGAAGTTTTGATTACACTTGTGGAAGCCAGACCTGTACTGTGGGACAAATTTCTTGACAATTACAAAGATAGAAATGCTATCTTAATTTAGTTTCGCTACAGTTTATTAATTTAAGTTTATATTTTTGCCATTTGCCATGGTACACTTCCGACGTCAGAAATTGTGTGTTTTGCGCTGAAGGGCATCCTTGAGTCTTTCGTATAATTCATCAAAGGAGGCAATGGACATTCGAAAATAATTGAAAAACTTATTTTCATCTCTCCGTAGATCCTCAAATAAGGTATAAAGTAAGCCCACTTTCTCTCTCCTTTCATTGATAGGATGCACCCAAACATGACGTTTGCGTTGTCGTCTCTTTCGTCGACGATTATATAACCATAATGCAATAATTTGTTTACGACTCATTTTAATCAAACAGCACACCACTCAACCACACTGAGCTTGTGACGGAAAAAAGCCGTGCATAAACAGTATAATGTGAACTTGGTGCCCATTCGGATTTTCTCCGTTCGAGTTTTTGCCGTGCGGTCAAAACCGTATAGTGTGAAAAGAGCCTTACAATGGTATCTGGAAAATGACCGCCTCTGTGGTCTAGTGGTCAGAGTTTCTGGCTACATATCCAGAGGTCCAAATATCTTGCATGTTCTACCCGAGAAAGAGACCATACATTAAAAAGGAAAACTGATGCGTAATTAGCCGGCAGAAGACCAGGATCAGTGTTGTTCTCTCACCTCACGTTTACTGTCTTCCAATATATCAGGTGATCCTTTTCGTTATGGACACAAGTGAAAATGAAAACAAAGCAGTAAATTCTCGATCGCTCGTTTCTTGCAACTCAAAAAAAAAAATCCCTGACCTGTAGTCCGCAAGTGAACTTTACCGACCGAGCGACCGCCGCTTGTCAGGTCTAGTGGTCAGCTCTCCTGGCTACAAATCCAGAGGTCCCGGGTTTGATTCCCGGCGCTACCAGATTTTCTGAGAAGTAGTGGGTCTGGAACGGGGTCCATTCAACATCGTGAGGATAATTGAGGAGCTACTTGAATGGAAAAGTAGCGGCTACGAACAAACTATTTGAGAAGCTGATTTTAAGAACAATCCAAAAAACACACTGAGGAAAGAAACTTACTAAGGCAAGTCAGTTCTACTTTCGAGCCTGGCGGATCACTTCACCCTAAATTTCAACAATACGTAGACGGCTGCTGTGTTCTTGGACATCCAGAAAGCTTTCGACATAACATGGTACTTTGGCCTGCTATATAATATTGTCAGAATTCGAATTTTCGACTAGTATCATTAAGCTAATTGCTTTTTATCTCACTGACAGAAAATTTAAAGTCTGCGATGAAGACGAATTTTCTACGCCAAGAAAAATATGGGCAGGGATTCCTCAATTCCCCGTCCTTGCCCCAGTATTGTACAGTCTATACACAATATACACATGCCCCCCGAGGCACCTGGAACTCATTTTGCTCTGTCTGAGGATGACGATACCTGTATTTATGTGACAGAGGACCATGAAAGTTGTGTTCTCTGCAAACTGCAACGCGGACTCACTGCAGTGAATTCGTGACGTGATAGAATATAAAGATTAATGAAGGGAAAAGTCAGGCAATCTATTTCTCCAGAATAATGGGAATCCTTGATGACGTACTATAACTAAACATAAGAGACATTTCCTTTGTAAATATTATCACGTGTAGGGTGGTACGCGTGACGAAAATGACAGGTTCTAGTTCGGATGATTGGATTTATTAGCACTACGGTTACACACTCTCTTTAAATTATACTTAAATGCAGCTCTATCGTTGATTTACACACACACAGGTCCTCTCCTGGTGCCACAATTAAAACGCAGAAGTCTCAATAAATTACACTCTCCCAATATCACTGTACTATAGCACACATAAAGTCTTCGATTCCCAATTTAACGTTTCTTCAA